GGTTTAGTCAAATTTAGCTTTAAACACCAACTGATAACATATCCATTTTAATATCTATATCCAAATTCCCATTACAAATGTGCGCACAACTTTGTCAATGTTCTGCTAATGTTGAAAAAACAAAATTTTTGGCCTTTGCTGTGTTTCTATTAAATAATAAATACAATTAATATCACACATGAATAAGTTTGTTCACACAATAAGTCATTATTCATCCTCCACCTACTTCCTGTTATGTTCTTCATGGTTTGCATCAGAGGCAATATGAAGTTGTTGATCATGTGACTCATTTGATGCAAAAAAAGTATTTCCTTTGCAGTTTTACAAAAAATAAAACAAACAAAAGAAAAGAACAACCTCATCCTTATGCCAAAACCTTTAATCAAAAAAACAAGAGATTCTCAAAATTGGTGTGGTATGTTAAGTGAACTTATTTTCAAAAAGTGAAATTGCACACTTATACAGTCAATGGAAACCCAGCCACAGACGTTACAGCTCTCCTTTCCCTAAAAGCAAACATGCGGACAGAAAGAAGTCAGTTTTAGCAGGAAGAAACCAAAAGCTGAATCCAACTTGCTGTAAGCAGCCACATACCACAGCTGACTGGGGCTTTGAGAAGACAGAGCAGTCACACAAAAATACAGAAACACTTTAACTTACCCTTTAACTCTGGGTAAGTTAAAGGAAAACTTACCTCGAGTTAATGGCAGCAGTGGCTTTCTTATTGGCTTTGTACAGGATGGAAACACAGCTAAACAAATAATCAGTGAGACAATCACACTGTCCCAGGATGACAAGAGACGAAGTTAGGACACTGGCCACAAGTAGCTACTTCAGTGACTTTCCTTAAAAAAAAAAAAAAGAAATGAAAGAGATGAGGTTAAACCTGGGCTACTCGATTCATCTTTATAAGAGAAAATATGGCAAAACTTAATCCTTCGTGTTTAAATTATAATTCTGTAACACCAAGTTATTTTCCTGTCACTGTAACAACTTGATCTCTATTTACAGACTATGAAACCCCCCCCCCAACAAAAAACAAAAAGCGTACTCTGACTTTTGTCAGCGTGGAGACACAAGCATGTCACCAGTCAGAGCTCCTACCCAACAGCTGGTTTGTCTGTAACTTCTTCCTTTTTTTTAATGTGATTTATAATAGTGTTGCGATTACAACAGCTACACAAAATGTCAATACATCAGCTAATAAATATAGGACCTAATGAGGTGTACCAGTATTTCGATCAGCCATTTAAAAAAGTCGTCAGTATTTTTAATCTCTGATATATAAATATTTTTAAATTAGAGGTTGATAACTTGACAACAGATTTTACAGCAAGAGAGCAATTTTATGTTCCATTTCTTTGAGGCTTTGCTACTTTCATAACAAGGCAGAGAGGTTTAAATCTTGCCTATTCAAATGTGTCAAAATTTGCACTTAGTGAAAACGATGCCACCCAGAAACTGTAAAGAAAAGTCACATGAGCCCTCGGCATGAAGCCTTTTAATTGGATCCAGTTGTGAAAACTTGTCATTTTGATGAATCTTTAAGGGATCACAACTTTTTTTACTTTTTTTTTTTTTTTTTGGTTTTATTCTTTTTTTGTTATCGTTCTAGAAATAATCTCAGGAAAAGAAAAACACCTTGTGATGAATTCAGCAGCTTTAAATGGACTTTTGATGGAGAAAAAAACACAAGCAATGTCTCTGGCACAAGTTGCTGAAGCGATGTCCTCAGGTGCCAATACCAACTTTACAATCCTTATTACCTGAGTTAGAAATTGAAGTTGTCTTTACAGATTAGGAAGACTTTTTTTCAATTTGGTGTGTTATGTACAGAACATATTGAACCATTTTCACATTTGTGGTGAAAAACACTGAAAATACACTAAAGACATGTAATCAAACAACTGTCTGCAGAGTTAGCAAATTAAAGAGTGGCTTTTGTTGAAACACAAAGTATGAGTAAACTAAAAATGCTCGGTGTTTCATTGATTACCAGATTTCCATCAATGCATTGGACATTTTCAGCTAATTGCAAAGTTAAGAGCCTCTGCGATCTGGTTCTGTCTGAGGATGTATCGTAGCAGCCAGAAAGTTTTTGTCTTTGTTAGATAAGGTTATTGTTATAATAATTATGTTCAGGACTATGTAACACACAGACACCTTCTTTGAAGTTTTAACATTTTAAAACCTATATTTAAGTGTTGTGCGCTCTGTAAGCATTTGGACGGTTGTATTCCTCATTGTCTTTTAGCTCTCAAGGTAAAGTTGGTTAACAAACACATAACTGAAAACCGAAGACCTGCCTTTCACATGCATAGTGGTTGTTTGGTATTAGGGTGATTAAAATGTTCTTGTTGCCACCTGAAGAAACGACTACTCAGCTAAGACACTGCAAACATGCTCCTGCTGTGTCTGACCTCTCTGCCACCCCAATCTGCAGTTTGCCATGTCTGTATCCATCCCTGCATGTTATTCTCAGTGTGTCATCACTTTGTGCTCTTCCACCACCAGCTTCCCACTTCTTTCTGTCTCTGACAGCTATGCTTCTGTCTGATCCGTTCTTTCCTCGTTATCTTTTTTTCATTAACGCTATACACTGCAGCACAACACAATAAAATAAAGAACAGACAGAGCAGCTTGTTTGAGGTATTTATTTGATTAAATACAGCACTTCCTCCATCTTTTGCACTCTTCTTATCCGTTTCATCGTTGGAGCAAAAACCTTCCTCTCTGTATAAACATAACAACAAATTTCTTCATAACCTCGAATTATATCCTAAATCAAATTTGAAAGTGTCTTGCATAATGCAGTGAGTCTTCAACGTTTCACAGAAACAACTCGTGCCAAAAATTCAAACTGTTGCGCTATATCAAAGGAGATTAACTCAATTATATTATGCACGATGCACTTCAGCGCACAATGTCGGCTCACATTTACCAGTCCGATGAAACAAACGGTGTGTTTCAGAGGTGTTATCCATCACCGCAGAGGAACAGGCAGCACACGACTGCCCACCGTCAGGAGAGACCAAAACTAAACCTAATTTTTAACATAAAAAGGAGCTGAGTTTGCTGCTGCTGTGGAGGGTGATAAATCATGAAGTTAAACAGTTAGGCGCTCTGAGCAGCAATTTATGTAAATTAGTTGCTGGAGCATAAATGCAGCAGCCCAAAAAAGCATAAATGGTCATTTTTCGTCTGACTTAAACACTTGGCCTGGGATCGCGGTCCTAACGCGTTTCTTTGGATTTAAATGGCAAGGATGACATCAGGGGAACATGTTCAGTGTAATTTACCAACGCAGCGCGACAATGTCATCCAGTTTTTTTTTTTATAAGGCAAATGTGTTTCAAAAACTCTGTGTACTTCAGCGTACTATTAGGAGCTGCCAGTGTGTGAAGCCCCGTCTGCCACTGTTATAAAGCCGATGCCTCTTTGCTGTTTGACGCCAACTCTAAACCACTGAAGGACGCTTGGCTCTTTTGATGGTTCACGCACAAAACAGACCGGCGCACTATTTGCGTCCTTACTCAGATATCCAACAATCTTCCTCATCATAGTTCTCATAGCTTACATAGTGCGACAGAGTAATCATTTTAGAAAAAATGCAATCAGTACATTCATCATTAGTCATTTCAGAATCCCTTGTTATCCCACAGCCTGTCTGAAGCACAAGTACAGCATATCAAGATGTAAGTGTGTGTTCATATAACATGCATTTCAACTTTTTTGTTTAGTGTGAGAGTCCAGATGAAGCAGAACAAAAAAACAACCAAGAGATGAACATCTCATAGAAACTGCAGGTGTGGGAAAGTTTGTCTGTCTGCTTATCTGATCACTAGTAAAACAATATTTTGCGTCAAAGCTGGTTGTTGTTGTTGTTGACACAGTTTTCTCCCCACTTTTAATTTTGTTTTATAAATCTTGTGTTTTCTACTATATTTTGTTTCATTCATACTAGAGTTGAAACTTAACTAATACAAAATACTTTTTATCATTTAATACAGATGTACATCTTTGACGTGACGATGTTCATTTTTAGATTACACAAATTTAAAAAAAATAATTACTAATTAGTAAAAGATTCTATGAATTAACCTCATTAATTAATAGTATTGCTTTCTAGCCTTCCTTATTTGATGCAGTGATTCATAAACTATATTACACTAGAGGTGTATGTGAAAAGCAGAATTGTTGTAATATATTATTTATATCATTTTAAAATAAGAACATGATTACAGACATTTTAATGTCATTGACAGTAGATGGGGGATTATGGCAAATGGCATGAGTACAATTATACTAACTGAAAACAACATTCTGTGTTTAAGCCCATAGAGATTATAAAACCTTGTTTTAAAACAACAATGCAGTTTTACTACAAAACATTCACCCCTCACGTTATCCTCTCACTGTTTAAAAGTAGAAAGTAGTTTCCTGTCTCACACCGTTTATGCTTGCTGCAGTTTCATTTTAAAGATCTCGCCGACATAAAAATAGCTAACATTGAGGGTTCCTTCTGTTAGCTTCCACACTAAAGAGGGTTGTGGTTGGTGGGACCAGTTCACTTTCTGGCATGGTGCGTTCCTCGACCAGAAAAACATCAGTTTTTAGAGTTTCTGGTTGGTAGCAGCTGGTCTGCGGAGGTCTTTCTTTCCCAGTCTTTATGCTTAGTTTTGGTAATTCACTCTGAGCTTTGGAGACATTTTCTGATGCTTAAACATGATTTAAAAGCTACCTGGATTGATCAAATAGGCTAATAAATACTGAGTTATCTTAAAGATAAACTTGAACAAGATATAATAACTTTAAAAGTCCAGAATAGCATCCCTCTTTCTGGACCTTTGACCTTTTGGGGCCTTGCAGCCAAAGTGTTGAGCACTAATTTCACATTTTCTGGTGCATTTGCTGAAGTTTCAGCCTTCTCTGCTTACGCTTGGTCTTATGTTATGTGTTATATTTATGTCATGTGTTTCTCTTCTTCTTCTCCACTGCAGAGCTCATTCAAAATGGCCGTCTGCTGACGCTGCCTTTGGAAGCAGGAGACCTCCACTCCCTGCTGCCTGATGAGGACAGGAGGCGTCTATATGTGGCCATGAAAGATAATCTTCTCTCTACGAGTCTGGATGACATCACGCAGAACCCGCGGAAGGTATGAAGTGGAAGACGCACACATACCAATAAACCAAAGGAAGATAACCATTCAATGTGTGTGCGTATGGGCATAAATATAAACTGTTTTCACCCGAAATTGTGTCAAATAACGGCAGATTTACGAATCTGATAACTTGATTGAGGTAATCACTGACAATTTAAGAGCAAAGTCACACCTTTCTCACTTATATCCCATCAGGATCCCTTATCTGTCCTGACGCCTGTAAGCAACTTACAGCAACACAAATCGTTCTCTGGACCTTCATTTCTAGTTACTTATTCTTTATTGAAATATGTTTCATTAAGCAACATAAAGAGAGTCATAGCAGGGGAAGGATAATTTTCATCTTCTTTAACTGTTTCTGGGGAGGAGTGGAAAAAATTATGAAAAGAGTAAACAAAACAGAAGAATTGATTGTTAATTTTTCCAAAACCTTCTTCATCTCTTTTGTAAAACAACATGAAAGCATGTAATGTATCAGAGCCTGATCATCCCACTGCTTTTTGTTGGAGGATTCATATTTCAGTGTTACTTTTGAACTCGTATAAACAATTAAAAGCTGTCTACAGCTTTCTATTAGAGTCTACTAAACAATGTAATACAATAGTAAAGGTAAAGAAACAAATGCATTAAAACGTGTTTTAGTGCGGCGGATGGCACGACAGGTCTGAGTTTTGTAAAATTCCAGAACATAAAGAAGATTTTCCACGAGAGTCCAGATTTGAGTCGGGATCAGAAGTTACTGACAAGTTGCATAAACTGGACTTGATGGAGAGAATTGAGAAGAAAAGTCTAAGTATGTTTGTTCGATAATCATTGCCTCTGTTTAACTAGCATTGAACAAAATGGGAACTTTCAGTCAGCTGATCTTTTATCTGAGTTAGACAATTTGTTACTTGGAATCTACCTCGGCCTAAGGTTTTTTTTTTGTATTTTTAAACTAAGGTTTTGTTATTTAAAAAATTCATATGGACAAAACGGACAAAACACACAAATGCATTAGAAAGTCTCAGTTTTGTGTAAAATCAGTGATGGTGTGGAGAGGATCCCTCCGGCAAGAAGTGTAGACTTTAAAAAAAAACAACCCCAGATGATCTCGTTCCCATGCTGCAGGCACTGGTGCAACAAAACTCACCAAACACTGATGTGGATATTTGTTACACTCTCACACAAACAACATCAAATTCAAAATCAGTTGAGCAGGTCTCATATTCATGGAGATGTACATATGGGAGGAAACTGTCTACAGGAAGGAAATAAAGCAACCAGCATTCGCCACCCTGATGTTTCACACCACATCCAAACGGCCAGACAAACACGTTAATGGCTGGCTGAGTTCAGGGTCACAGCAAGGACAGCGACAGCGCTGCCTTTTCATAACCGTGATCTGTCGGATCAAATCAATATCCTCATCAGTCAGACGCGCACGCAAAGCCGTCAGGGGGACAAACAGGTAGGCGAGCAGACGAACAGCTTCTGAGACGGACGGACACACCGGTTCTTCCAGCCAGCCACCCACTGTGCCCGGCTCTCTGCCAGTGAAAGGAAAGATAATTTTAACTCATGACTTAGCTTCATGCGGGCTTTCTACGCTTTGCATTTTCACATACAGTATTTATAATTTGTTTATACCATTTCATATCTTGTGCAGTTATTTTCCCCTCTTATGCTGTTAATATTCACAGTGCTATGTTCACTTTTTTTTTTTTTGTCCAAACTTTTAAACACTGCGTGGTTACATTGGAAACTCTTGAAAGAAGTGATTCTGGCATATCTACTGTCCCCAGTTCATCCCAGGGCAGCGTGCCGAACTTTAACTATCGCCTTCAGAGACTTTGATGAGGCTACAGTTAAAAAATAAAAGAAAAAAAAGAAAAGAAAAAACCTCAGTGTCATGATCCGTGTTTCTGTGTATTTATTTTTAAGGGTTTCTGTCCTGAGTCTCTCTCTCTGCATCTTCCCGTTGATTGCTTCCCAGGTGTGTCTAGTTACCTGATTACCCTCCCTGTGTATTTAAGTCCTCCTGTTGTCTCTGTCTCTTGTCGGATCCTTGTCAAACGTATGTCGTTTGTCTGCCTGCCATCACAGTTGAACTGTAAAGTCCTGTGTTGGGTTTAGCTCTCTTTTTCAGTCCTTAGTTTTTCAGTTCCTACCGGTAATTAGCTGTGTGCTAACTCTCTCTTTCATTAAAGAAAGCTCAGTCCTGACTGGACTGTTGAGCTTTCTTCATTAAATCTATCGTCATCTTTATCACAACCTGGGCCTCTGCATCTCTCCTCACCACCTCGCAACCACCACACATGACACTCAGGGCATTCTCTTTCTGAGAGCCTACAGCTGGCAGCCACCATCACCCAGAGAGAGGTCACCATGGGTTGGGTTGCGTTTCTGTGGCTTTTTGTTTTCAAATTTCTCCTTTCATCGTTGCTCCTTCTCTGGTTTCGCAGCAGAACTTTTGACATTTTCAACACTTTTCCATCTTTTTTTGTTTTGCTTTTTTTTTCCTTCCTTTTTGCTGTTGATTTACTAGCCCTTCACTCTTCCTGCATGTGGTTTAAGATGACAGCCAGCATGCTTTCCACAGCAGGATAAATTCCCATTAACCACAGCCTTCACCTGGTGGTACTCTTCCAGCGGTGGTCCGTGTTCCTGTCAGTGTGTGGTACTGGAGATTAGGCCGAGTGCGGTCACTAATCTAATCTGATCATCTCGGCTCCGCAGCGGGCTCTGCGGGGATGACTGCATCGGGGAACGATTACGGGACATTCTAAAATTGTTTCCTAAAACCAGCAGTATTTTCAGTAATGGCTTTATTTGACTGTGTGTCACTATTTTGTTTTTGTTTTTTTTCCATGGAGTGGTGACTTTCTGCTTGGACCACCAATTAATAAATGCCAGATCATGCGCCTTTTAAAGTATTCATTAGCATTTATAGATCTTGGAGGTTGATGGATTGTGATTTTTCTGAGAAACTGTTTGCTCCTTGTACTTTTTCAGAGCAGCTTTAGCAGTTTTCATGGTCATATCACTTCTATCTCAGCCTCACGACTCTGGTCTCTGAGGGAATGACTGAGTCAGGGAAATAGTTAGATTAGTCATGTCACTGCCATTGGAGCCTCTATTTCTCTCTTGCTTGCACATTATCAAGAGCTCAGTTATTTCCTCTCAGTTTTGATGTCATCGAAAAGAGTCAGGGGGTGGGGTTGGACCCATCCTGGGTTTTTTAAATTTATTTTTATTTAGTTTATGTGGAAAAAAGAGTGATGTTTTAATGTGATTATGTTGGGCGGTGTCTGATTGCTTTATTAGTGAAGTCAGACATTTCTATTGTTACCAGTACACGTTTCATGGAAGATGATCTTACCTGAACCTAGAGTGAGCTCATCCTTCCAGCCCCCCCACCATTCAACACACACACACACACACACACACACACACACACACACACACACACACACACACACACACACACACACACACACACACACACACACACTTTAACAGAGTCAGAGCAAGCAAGTCGGGTAGAAAACTCAAAGTTTTCACTCAGCCACAGGGGCCTTTCGTTGTCTCTCGTCACCCTAAATATGAACCCTGAAACTGAATCACCTCCATTAGATGTGGAACACTGACTCTGCCGTTAAACTTTATAACGTCCTATGAAATTAAAACCACATGGTTCAATACATTTCATTACAATTTTATGACAGACTAACACAAAATAGTGCCTAATTGTGTATTGCTGGAAAATAATTCTCCTTTTAAGATTTTCTTTTTTCACAAACAATTTGGAAAATAGTTGCAGACATTTGCATTACGGCCCCTTTATCCATAATGGCCCAGAAGACCACTGAGGCTCTTTGGAGAACGTTAATGAACAAATGGACACGAGGAACAGCAGAGGTGAACTTATTTAACCTAATCTGACAATCTGGTCAATATTACAACCCACCTACAGGTCCACGGTAAATCTGGTGGAGCTGCAAAGATCCTCAGCTCAGGCGTGAGAATCTGTTCACAGGACAACTATTAGTCATCCACTCTGCAAATTAGTGAATTGCATGATCTTTTATTAAAGCTTATTTATGTGCTACAGTTGCAATGCAGGTAAGTTTTTAGATGTGCAGAGCTGGGAGAGAAATATCCCAAAAGGTGGGCAGGAACACGCTGCGTCTTCAATAGTTTGTTTAATAAAATATATTTCCCAGAAGTCCACATTCTCTCCTTTAAATGTTCATGTCTATTTCTTTCTTTCTTTCTTTATTTCTGCTGTTGGGCACTTCTCAGTGCATGCCACTCGATAAAAAGCAGTCCAACTCCTCCTGCAGGTGCAGTCAAATTGTGAATTAGTCATGCTGTCACGATCCCTGCTGCCCTGACAGTTTGGCCCATTATCAGGACTCATCAATGCTGCCAGTTGGTTTTTATTTTTCTCCTCCCTGAAGCTGTTGCTCTGCTTATTTCATCCAGATTAGTCATGTGCTATTGGCTCTCCCTTTCTGGCTGACCGTCAGAGCACCTGCTGCTTCCAATAGCTGTTTATCAGAAACGTAGCACGAGCAGGAACGCAAAATTGAACAGGAAAAAGATTTTTTAAATGTCTCTCTCTCTCTGTTTGTTCTTGTTTCTTCCCTCCTTCTTTCCCTCCTCTCTCTGTCTTTCTTCCCCTGTAGCTGTTCTGGCCAGGCAGTCCGGACCGGGTCCAAGAATGTCTCATGGCTGGGAAGGATTCAGAGGTGATTCAAGACACACTCACTGATTCCAGTACAAACACATGTGACTGAATAACAACAGCAACTTTTAAAACGGGAGCTTCCATGTTTTACGTAGGTAAACCATCATTCGGCTCATCTCAGAACGTGATTTCAGTCAGAATATTGCACAGATTAAAATCTCCTGCCTGACAGATCAGGCTGTATCATTTTTCTTTTTATTTTTTTTATTTTTGCTGCTTGCTGCAATGCAATACTACCCAACGAGACCTGCCTGAAATGTTCTGCAACAATAACCCCGAAACAGTTGCGCAATAGATTGCAATCTGCTGCGGAACTGAAGCTGATTGAATCCGATTCATTTAAGGAACTGTAAACAAACAACACTCTGACGCTGGTAGGGGAATCAAGATTCAGGAAGAAACAAGCCAACACATTTAGAACCACAGATTACGATTGAAATAAATGAATTATTCTGCTGTTGCTGAACACTCCAATACGAAACATTGCAGGTTGTTGCATTGTGGTGAGCTGCTGTGTGCATCTGTGTCTCTGGACAGCTGGAGTGCGCGAACTTCCTGCGAGTTCTGCAGCCTTTTAATCAGACGCATCTGTACGTGTGTGGCACCGGGGCCTTCAATCCCCGCTGTGCTTTCATAGCTACCAGCATCTTCCACCAGGTAAAACTGCGCACACGCACACACACACACACACACACACACACACACACACACACACACACACACACACTATCAAAGTAAAATTACATATAAACTCGGACTTATATGACTTGGGACATAATCAATTTGCTTCTTAGAAATTAGATACATCTGCGCCTAATATATCTTTTTTTTCCCAATATCTCACACTGATATTCACACACTTTAATGACACACTTATTTAAGTAATTGAGAGCACATTTATTTATGGCTTATAGGTTTGATCCAAGATTTATTTTTTTTTTGGGTAAATAAAAAAAACCCCATTTTGTTACTGAAGATGACAAAATGTGAAAAAGGTTCATAAAGTCTGAAATCCTCTGGAGAACCTTCCTTACTGATGTATATTTATGAAGAGAAAGGACTAGAGAAGTCAAATGTATCTGCAGGTATTTTCATAGTTTCGTCCTAGCCTCCATCCTCCCTGTGTGATCGGGCTCCCGTCCCCCTCACGGAGCCCCCTGAACTGCTGAAATATCAGATGTGGTGTCTTCCCCCATGCCCACATGACCTGTGAGGGTTTACCTAATGTCATCTGTCCTTAATATGTGGCAACATTGTGCAGCTCACCAGACACCTGAGACTTGGTTGACATTTAAATGTCAAATACAGAGTAAAGCACATCTAGAAGACGGGTGTGTACATGTGGTTTGTTTTCCAATATGCACCCACACATAATATTCACTTAAAACACAAGAATTTCTGGGACACTTTGGGGATTGTTCTCCGACCGTTTTTTTATACACATGTCTGGGTGCAATCCTTTAGTAGAGTGCTGATTGTTGTTTGTGTGTCTTGCAGTAGATATGTGTGTCAGAAAGCAGCTAATCCCATGAAAGGCCTTGTGAGATCAGAGCGGACACAGCTCTTAGAGGAGCCGGTGGTACTGGCCAGTTTAAGTCTGGACTTCACACATTGTAGATTCCCTGCACTTAGCCTGATTAGCCTCAGTTAGCCTCTCTCTCTCTCTGTGTGTGTGTGTGTGTGTGTGTGTGTGTGTGGCAGCCATGTGTGATGAGCTGGCTCAAACCTTCTTAGAGCTCATCGCCTCAGTGAATAGGATTATTTTAATATTTTACGATGTACTTATTTTAATATGCCTAACAAAACTCGTGTCTGTTTCAGCAGATTTGCTCGCTTAATCTCGGCTGTGTGGTTTTTCTTTTTAAGGCAGAGTACCAAACTCTCTCCTACAGCCAGACAGAGTGTGGGAAAGGGAAATGCCCCTACGACCCGTTCCAGAAAACGGCTTCTGCGGTTGTTGGTAATATTAATTATTCTTCAATGTAATTAAATGCTGGTTAGAGTTATCAGTGTAAAACAAGGTGTAGTTTTAATTTTCCGCCTACGGTTTGAAGTTTTTCTTTTTTAAGTCAGGGATATGTTACGACGATCAAGTTCTTTCCAGCCAAACAATTGCAACACTGACCCACATGCTGCTGCATACTAAAAGTTAGCAGAAGGACACTTTTAAGAAAAACTGAGTCCAGCAATATTTTTAAGTTAGTCTAATTGTTGCTTGCTTTAAATAAAAGAGGTGAGATCATTATATACATTTTACATCTTTACATTTTTCTGTCAACACCGTCACACAGTAAAACCTTCTGTCTCTGAAGATCATATAGTGAGAATCACATATCATGTCCCCACTTCGCAGCATGCACTTGATGCAACGTGACTGACGGTTTTGGGTAGGTGTTGATGACAAATATGTCGGATTATTTTAAGGCTTTATGAAGCTCGCTAAAAGCATTCGATGCTGAATTGGTCATTTAACCTGAGAAAAGCAGCCAGACAGCATGTGGGTGGGCAGTGGCAGTGTTGTCTACAAACGCATGCCTCTGACTGTGTTTTGGATGTTTTTGTTTTCAAAGCTTTCCCGTCGTATATGTTGTAAAGATCTGTAGTCTGTTGGGTACATTGATTTTTACAGTAAGTCCAGCTAAGGAAGAAATTCAATGTGTGAATGAGAGAATCATAATAACTCTGAGCATGTGTCTCATTTTAACAGAGTTGAATAAGGATGTGATCACTGGTTTTACTGTTTAGATGGAGAGCTATACGCCGGCATCACTTCGGACTTCATGAGTCGAGACTCGGCTTTCTTTCGGAGCCTCGGCAGGCGACACGTCATCCGTACAGAGCAGTACGACTCCACCTGGCTGCAGGGTGAGTCCCAGAACTGGAAACACGTTTGAGAAACTCAAGCAAGTGCTAAAAAAAAACCTTAACAATTATTTAAGTTAGTTATTGATAATTTTACTAAGAATTTTGTTTAATTATCAGTGGAATTATAGTACAAAATATGTAAAAGTCAATTTTTTTTCTAACGCCTGATCCAATCCACCTTTCTGTAATTGATGATGCTTTGCATGAACTGTGTTTACAAGCTTCAAACCTGCATAATACATTGCAACAGATTAATATAAACATTTAGACAGTGCAATATTATGAAGACATGAGCAGAATTTAATGAAATACTAACGTGATTCTTTCTGTGGTTCTAAAAACATTAATTGTCTACTATTTTGATACTTTTCTAATCTGAGAAGGCAGTAAAAGTTGGACCGACTGGGATATGAACCAATAATGATGATTGGATCCTGTCATAAAAGCCGACATCTACTTAGCTTGTTATTCCTTAAACCTTCCTTTTATCTTCCTGTGGATCCGACGTTTCCTTTCTGGGAGTCAGTTGAGAGAGTTTGTGATGTTTTTTTTTTTTGTTTTTTTTGACAAAGCGAACATACAAGATTTTCAGACGTAGTTCAAGTTGAATTTTTTTTTCTTTGTCCACATTTGTCGATTGCTTTACTGTTGTGTGCATGTTTAGTTTATACCTGCAGAAAACACAAGTTAAGCTTCTTCTGATTACAGAAGCAGGCAGCCGACGCTGCAGTCGTGTCAGAACATGTCGGCGCTTTGCTGGCACATTTGTGAATATCAAAACAGAGGGGGTGAGGGGAGAACAGTTTCAGCAAAACCGCAAACCATTTACTTAAAAATGTCAGTTTGATAAAATGCAATTAGCTGCCAAAAGAAACTGATTTGCTTTAACTTCTACAGCGACACCACTAGGGATAAGTTAATTGTTCTCCAGCAGCTTGTTTGAATTTACTCGATGTTTATTGAGTTATAACCCACTAACAACTGCCTCATTTTGTCTCATTTTGAAAAAATAAATATTGAAGGTAAACAAAAAGGTAAATGTAATATCACATGATCCAAATCAGCATCTCTACAATCATCCTGCTCACCCGGTCGGTGTTTTATCAGACCAGTACGCTGATGTCTGCTGCCGATAACCACCAATCACCTCTCCTCTCTGTAAACTCACTTCCACCTTCATCGTCTCTCTGCTGTCATTCTCCCATATTCAGTTACACAATTGAAAATGTGACGTCAGCGAAGTTGTGCTGCTCCACAGTTGATTTGCTGTAATTTAGCTATCTTTCTGTGTGTGTGTGTTTATGTGTGTGTATGTCTCCAGATGCCCAGTTTGTGCGGGTAGCGCCACTGTCTGAAACTGATAACCCAGAGGATGATAAAGTTTACGTGTTCTTCACTGAGCGTGCCCAGGAGGCAGAGGGGGCGGCCGGGAAGGTTCTCTACTCCAGAGTGGCACGAGTTTGCAAGGTACGATGTGTGTCCGGTGAGCAGAGATGGAGCACAGATCAGACCGGAGGTGGTCTGCGTGAAGTTTTGGCAGAGGTATTTTCCTGCCAGTGCGTACGTGCAGGTTAGTGAGTCTGCACAGGCTGGGATGTGTGCTGAAGGCACCGACTCCGTGTCCAACCGAATGTCCCCGTTGGCATGTTTGAAGGTTGTTTATACAGAGTCTCGTTAATACTGACCATTCTTAAACAGTTTATTTTATTTGCTTGAATGTTAAAGCTCGTTTGGTCTATAAAACTTTAAATGTTCACATGGTTCTTGGGGAATAAACTACTAATAAGTTGGTTGTAGGTTTTTATATTCAGCTGCCAGTATTGTAATACTGCAGTGGGTCTTATTATCTGGGACTTCCACAGAAATTATGTCAGAATGAATATCCGTTAATTGGTATTTACCATTAATTTAAAATGCTTTTAATGTGTTAAACCTCCAAGCAGCAAGACCCTCTTTAAACGATTAAAAGGATATGGACCAATTGTATTTAAGGCTTTCTCAGGGTCTTTTAAAAGTTTCTTTGGTCTCTTTTGGGCTTTACTTATTTTCGGTTCATTTCTTGCACTTGATCACGACAGCATATTGTGCAGTGTGTGCCTATAAAAACAAGAAATGTGGAAAAGTACAAGACAAAAGGAGCGTGGAGACCTGGAAATTAACAGTGCCTGAAATGTCTTTATGTCGTGTCTTTAAAGAAACGGGAAGAAAAGTCCCGAGAGAAGCATCAGCCTTTATCCAATCGACAGATGCGTGCGGCTTTTGGTTTTCAGTGAACAGCTCTTCTGCAATTGGAAAACCCAACAATAAAATGTCAAAGTAATTTCTCTGTGACAGACTGCCGATATCAATTTCAATGTGAATTATTTTGCAGACCCATTCCATAAATTGGAATAGTATTGAAAGGTTAAGTTGATATATATCTGCGTACATATATTCAAAAGATCGACATTCAGTGGGATTAAAACTCTAAATCTGATTTATTGCTTAGGAGCATTTTAATTATTGAATAAAGTTTAATAATTTCCAGGTTGAACAATAAAAATGACAAAACGAATTTCTAAAAAAATGCTTAAATCGTGGACTGAAAATAAGTGAAAAAAGCCTGTCAGAATTTCCGAAAGCCTAGAAAGTTATTGATCAAAACCACATTGAAAGACGGCAAGGGTGCAGCTTGTGGCTCCTTAGAAACCATAACATAAACAGACAATAACTCAAAACTTTTGCGCAGTAGAGTATATGTAATGTGAAGCAGCTAGAACCTGTGTGAGGAAAACGTCCTTCATTTCTTTGTATTTCTGCACAAATACGCATCCAGAACCCTTATAAATGTGTCGTATTGTCAGCTTGAGGTTTACATGAACATATTAAGTCTTTTTAAATTGTGTTGCAGAACGACATCGGAGGTCAGAGGAGTTTAGTGAACAAGTGGAGCACCTTCCAGAAGGCCCGGATGGTGTGTTCGGTTCCAGGACCAGACGGCCTGCAGACACATTTCGACCAGCTGCGTGAGTAAAGCAAATGGCAAACACATTACACACGCAATCAGACTTTAGCTGCGAGAGTTACAACAACAGCTGGACCTCTGCCACTGAATGCTTCATAAAACAGGAATTGAGCTAAGAAATTCAGCCAGTCTGCATGCATGTGTGCGTGTGTGTGTGTGGGTGTGTGTGGGTGTGTGTGCGCGTGTGTGTGTGTGTGTGTGTGGGTGTGTGTTCATACCGTTGGTGTTTTCGAAGAGATTTCACACACCGAGGAAACCTAAAGGGGCTTGACGGCCTCCTTGGCCTGCTGTACGTCTGCATAGCCAGACTGTTACCGCTACCAACAAAATGGCTGGTCACCTGTGCCTTCACCCATGGTTGCCACGGTAACTGGCCTCACATAGAGATCCTCAGACTTTATTCATTATCAAGGATTCCCTTGATGGACAGACCCCTGGCTTAGGAGGCCGCTGCCTTTCCCCATCGGGCTGCCGGGGCTTTTGTCGTTTTAATGGTGAGCGGACAAAAACATCAACTCTGAAAGAAATATGTGCAACAGGGCATAAGCCTCACAGTTTACAGCAGTGCAAAAGATTAGCTTGTACAATAAAGAATTAAATGTAGCGTGGATGCTTGCATTGACCTGTAGGTTATGGACCAGCATGCATCTGCAGTCATTCAACCCCCACAATACCTTTTCTTCTCAGCTCTTGGAGAACCGAGTGAATAAAAAAAAAAAGCAGGCGGGCACGCAGTGAGTTTGAGCTACACTCTTATCTCAGCTGGTCGTGTAAACAGAGGGATTTTAGAGTAAACAGAGAGACCCGCACAGTGAATTAGTTTGTTTATGCAGTACCTTAACTCATGAACACTAAATCACATGCTCTTTCATGTAGCCCAGGACTTAAACAAACACACATGGGAAATTAGGAAGCACTTGAAAGCACACATATTGAAGGTAAAGCTCGAGTTTAGGTGCCACCACACATGCGCAGGCCTCGGCTCGTCTGTGTACACCAAAACCGTTCGGACTTGTTAGAGGCATAAACATTTCCGTCCCTCGTGCCTGTGGCCATGTTCTACGTATCTGATAAGACTCCATATGAATTTGTTTATGAATACACTTCAGCAACACATGCACACAAACACATAAACCACAAGTCCCACTTCATGAGGATTTACACATTGGCTTAAGAATGCTGCCTGTGTTGTGTTTATGCCATGCTCTGTCAAACGGAAACACTACAAGTCCCATAAGCCTCCGCTGCTCCGAGGGGCTCACATTCGGTGCCTTGCAGATGTGTTAAACGTCTTCACGTTTTTGCTGTATTGCAACAAAAAAACTTCAAAGATTTAATTTGGATTTGATGTAGTTGACCAGCACAAAATGGTGCATAATTTTGAAGTGGAAGAAATATTGTAAAAGACTTTTACATTTAAAAAATAAGTTTTGTCATCTATTCCACAACAACGTCAACCTCAATAACGGTTTTCAGGCTCGCTGGGTGAAGATCTGACGTTGGGGGAGAAACACCTTCAGGATTCACCAACCAGATCCCAATGTCCATTTGGCCAAAAGACTCATAATAATGTTAAAAATAAACCAAAAGTAATTCCCAGAAATATCCCCACTAGTGAATAATATTGCTGAGTTAAAACAGACAGAACAGGAATTGTATGAATGCTGACATGCTTGCTTCTCTTACAAAATGCACAGCTTTGTCCAGATAATATAAAACTTTTGCAAGGGAACACAAAAGAAAAACAATTCCCCATTACTCACTGCAGGCTCTGCACAAATCAAATGGTTCAGTTAGAAAAAAAAACTAGTATTGAACAAAATAACACAGTTGAACTACAAGCAAAATTCACAGCTACAGAACCACAAATCATTATAATGCTACAGAACCAAAGCATCAAACCTGAGGAGCCAACAAGGTCAGAAGAAACACGCCAACAGTCTTCTTCTTTTTCTTCATGTTAGCAGGAAAGTTAAAGCTGAATTACTGCCACCTACTGGCTCACTGCTGGTCAGGTGTTCACTGACAAGTCTCACAAAACTGGTTAATCAGGTCAATGAAGTCCGTTAGAGCAGCAAATACTCGTTTTGAGAAGTTTACAATTCAAATTTTGTTCAGTAATGGTCCCTCCTTTCACAAAAGAAATGAAAAGATTGGTAATAACAGCTTGATCAGCAATGCCAATCAAGTCATTTAGATCAAAAATTTGTGTCTAGCTTTTATTGGTAACAAATAAGAATAGAAATCTGCCTCTACGCTTCGTTACCATTTGTCTGAGGTTGTTGACTCACATACTCGATGTTATGCAACACTTCCCACTGAGTTTCGTTTCGAGCAAAGCATCTGGTCTGCGATCACCTCACGGCTCGATTCGCCAGACGGTTTTGCTTGGACTTCATTGTTCTGTTGTTTTTGCTTCTGTTGTTGGAGCGACTTTGTTCACGCTCGCATGTCTCACTTTCAATCTGTGGGCTTCTCGTTGTTGTGGATGCCGCCAGCGTGAAACAAGTCGAGCCCCGCTGAACCGTAGTTAGTCAAGCACCAGCGGAGAGGAAGGTCATGCAGCTCAGATGCGAGTCTATCTCACAGGAAAAGATTCTCAGTGGGTCTCTGCCGCTGTCCTTGTTGTTGTGGTTGCTGTCTGTCGAGGAGAACAATGCGGGGAGATTTTGGCGCTGGAGACAGACGAGCTTCTGCGGTCTGCCAGTAGAGACAATAAAATACTTCCAGTTATTTTTTTCTCGTCTGTTTTTGTCTGGGTGTAAAAAGTTTAGTCATGTCCTAAACAAAAAAACAAAGCCCATAACCGTTGCAGAAACTGGAAAGGAGCCTGGAACAGTTTGGAACAACCAATTGTCTCTTAATGACAATTAGGAGAAAGCAGGCGTCTGTTTGTAATTTTCCAATGGTTTTAAATGAGAATAAGGAAGAAAAACATCTAAATATTTTTCTTTGTTCAAAATAACAAAATACATACAACCCTCTGCATTTAAATGTTTTTTTTAGAAACTACACCCACAAAAGGAAACCGCAGACATCACTGACCTAAAAAAAATATGATTTTCATAGTTTTTCTTTATAAAAGAGTAGAGAAATATACATCCACTTACCATAAAGACTTTTAATTGTTTTTCACAGTTTTTCCTTTAGTGTAAAGCAAAAATATTCTTTTGGATTCTTCTTTTTAAAGCCATCGTCAGTGTCCTGCTGTTATAATGACTGGATATTTGACCAAATGTTACATTTAGGTTGAGGTCGGTGCCATGCCAGAAAGATTTACATCCAGACCAAAATCAATTTTAATGTTTGTTTGGGCTGGAAAACCGTATTGTGTCTAACTTTCAGCCATCTGACCCAAAATTAAACCAGGGATCTTCACCTCCAGATCGTCTTCATAAGAAGAAAAGTTATAATAATATAAAAAGAAATTACATTTTTTGTAAAAAAAAACAAAAAAAAAAAACCAAAAAAAAGAAACAGTCATTTTTTGTCTTTTTTAAACAAATGATTCTCCAACTGAGTAACAAAAATCCTCAACCTAAAATATGAAGTGTTTCTTTTCATGATTTATCCAAAATCCAGATTATTCCCTGATTATTTATGTTCATATGCTTCAAAGCAGTTTCAAATCAGAGTCAGGTATGCCTATTAAACAAATGGCTGACTTTTTAATTATTGCTTGAAGCAATGTGGTTGACCAAACTGTGAAGGTGTCGCCATTATTGATCTCTTAGAGAAACTGAAGACGGCCACTGGATCACGATGTGGAAAAAGCTTTTCAGAGAGAGAACAAAATGATTTTTATTGAATGAATCACTACAGTCAGATAAAGTGAACTACGAGCCTCGGCTATGACTGATCAACTTAAGGGATTATTTCACTTTATTTGACTGTGGAGAGAAAATTAACCCAACTCTTCATCTCACCATCTTAGTTTTGTTGTTTCATAAAATGACTACTTTTTTTGTTGTTATTTTGATCTCCAGAAGGTCCTTAAAAATAAAAAGATTGTTTTAGATTAACTTTGTTTTGATTGAAGGGCTTTTATGACAAAAAAGAAGAAAATAATACAGCTTGTAGAATCACATTTCTTGAACTTTTAAACCTATATCTCTGATATCCGACTTCCAAATACCTGAAACTGTACGTGTCGGGTTGAATGGGCAACATTTCTCAACTAAACCTTCTTTTTAAAATCCTGTCTTATTCATGTTTGGAATAGTTGTCATTTTTTAATAATCGAAAAAACATTTAAAAAAAAACAAAAAACAAAACAATAATAAGAAAATCCAACTCACTCCTTGTTTGAAATTAATGAAAAATCTCGAAATCCTTTCAGATGAATCTCGAAAATGTTTCTTGACCTAATTGCCTCATCAGTAATTACAGTTTGCTACAAGTTGTATGGAAGCAGGTTCTGTAAGTGGAAAATAAATTTCCCTACTCCCCCAGTGAGGCTGTCTAATCCATCACTGCTTGAAGGGAGCCCCAGTTTGTCAGGAGAAGAAAGAAAAAAGGAAAGAATAGATAGGGAGAGAGGTGGAGCCATCAGTCAGATTAGCTGCAGGGGCAGGGAGGGAACAAGTGGGCTTTGACCTGACAAGAGAGCCAGGCTGGAGGAGGGGATGGAGCAGAGTTATAGGCTGAGAAAAGGAGATGATGAGGGCTGTAGAAGCCGTTACTGCTGTGTTATTGCTTTTGTGCTGTTAACGAGAAGTCGAGGGAATAAAGGGAGCAGCAGACAGAATATTAGGAGGAGCACTAGAAACAGACATGGCTGCAGGAGAGAGAAAAAAGAGAGAACAAAGTGATTTTCCTAAGGAAGACATAAAAAGAATGAAATCAGGGGAATATCTCCAATGTCGCAGGTGTTTCAAGGTTACGTAAGACTTCAAAATTGGAAATTGCTAAAGTAACGCTCTCCTACTTCTTGTGTGCAAGTTTTTTGTGGTTTGCAAAACTCAGCTGAGATGAACTGACTTCTGGCATTTTGATTTATAT